CAGTCGGCCCGTACACGGGCTGCAGCATGAACCCGGCCAGGTCGTTGGCACCGGCGCTCTGGAACAATCAGTGGTCCCATCACTGGATCTACTGGTTCGGCCCCATCGGTGGCGCCCTTCTGTCGTCCTTCACGTACAAAACCATCTTCGGCGTGAAGAGGAACAAGCGGGAGGAGCCTGCCGCAGAAGCTGTGGCGTTGAACAGCGTGGACACCCAGAAGGCCGAGGTACGATAGGTTTCTCCGTCGATATATATTCTTTCGTTAATTCGTTATTTTTATTTATTTATTTTTTTTTTTTATTATTTCTTTCGAGTCGATTGAGAGGAAATTTTCAATCTTCGGAATTTTTATGAATAAGAAAGTTTCTTGTAGGAGAGATTGATGTGATCTCTGCAAGGATCTAGGATCTAGGAATTTTTTTTCTTTTGTTTTTAGTCGTAGGAAAAAAGGGTAAAATTTAATAGTTGATAATTTGACTTTGATAATTTATTGTTAAAAACGTAACGATAATCGCAAATAACTGTGATGTCGAGTTATATGAAAAAGGGATCGATTAGTATAATAGTTAGAATAGATTAAAGTAATTTTATTGGAGACTTTTAACTAGTTAATTTTTCAACGAATCAATGCCCAATTCTGGTTACAAATAATCGTAATGATTCACTTTATGATTATTTTTGGAATAACTACTCAGTCGATAAGAGATATTTCCTTTCAATTTTTAAGATCCATTTTTCAAGTTATTTTTAAGTATATCTACGTGTATCGATCGATATTTCCATCAACTTTTTAAGATTCCTTCAAAACTCTTCCCTACGTCTACTGTCTTATACTATTTTCGAATCTTCTCAGTCGATAAAACTAGGATATAGAATATCCCTCTTAACTCTTAACCTCTTCCAGATTCTAAATTATCGAAGCAAAGTATCGATTAATCGGCCCATTCTCTGATTACGATATAACGATCTTTGGGAGAAACGAAACTTTGAAGAGAATTACGTACGAGGGGATCTCTGGCGTGAAGTTCCATCGTGTAAACGGCATGCAAAATCGTGCATCAAGAATTTTGGCGAAGCGGATTATCTTGTAAGGGCTGGCCGTAAAGGTCGGCGATAAATCGTCGTCGTTGGTCGAGCGAGGAAGTTTGGTGAAACTGGTTTTACGACACGCCGGGATTTAACGTTCTCGGTTTACCGTCGATGGGAAGAACCTTAACCATGGATCAAGAAGGGAAAGCTTTCAGGATTCTGGCCGACGACGCGTCGTTTAACTTTTTAGCGGGATTATTTTATAGAAGAATATTTTATATCTAATCAACTTTTGGAATGCGTTGGATGTCATCTAATGACTTTTGAGGCATAGGGACTCGATCAAATTGGACTATGCGAATGTATAAAACATTTTATTATTTTTTTTATAACGATTTTAATAGAGAGAATAGGTTTTTCAATGTTGTGGATTGATGTCCCCTGTTTGGTGAAATTTATACGTTAATTGTGAAAATAAGATGAAATAAGAAAATATGTCAGGATATAATCACAAGGAAATTCACAGGTTAATTTTTGATTAGATTTTGAACTAAGAATAATCAAATACAAATTATACACTATTTATATTGAAATCTATTTTCGTTCGAATATCTCGAGTATATATTTATATTATCGACTCAACGATCAAACACTCCTAATCTAACATTCTGTATATAAACAATATATTCAAAATATATCAAGTAATATTTGACGAGAATGATGTATAATTTAAATAAGATTTTATCGATGAATCAACAACGGTATCAAAAGGTAAACTGACTTTATTTCTTTGTTTTAGCCGTGATACGACATTTGAAGAGGACCAGAATCGGGAGCGTCCAGGGTACGAGACGATCGGCAGTTTATTCGAGAAAGTACAAGAGATTAAGTGTTTAAATGGAAGGATCGAATTGGAAGCTTGAAACGCGATACATCGCCTGGGCCTGGGGGTCATCATGTGCCGCCATCTTGGACCTCGAACATCTCCGTTTTTTCCTTCGATCGTATCGCGCTCGAACGATTCACGAGATCGCAAGACTGTATAATTCAGAGAAATCATTCGTTGCCTGCGAAAGAGCGACGACATTATTATTGTTAGAAAAATGTATAGATAGTGTACACTGCTGTTCGAAATTATTAGTTACATTAATTTTAAAAATTTTTTTAATAGACCGTAGGTGTAGCTTGTTTGTAAATTTTTCTATGATATGAAAAATATAACGAGTCTCTGAGAGTATGTCGAATCGAAAATTATATAATTTGATTTATTTAATTTTTTATATTTTATGTATCTGTATTCATTGTTAAAAAATAAGAAAAAAATTTGGAAAAGAATAATATCCTGGAACAAAGTTTGATTGAGATGTAAGAATGAAAAATAATAAGGATTAAAAATTGTTTATATTTAAATAATTGAATTATATAAGTCGAAAAATTTGACAGTAGAATTTGTAAAATATCGTTGAAAATTTTGTAGAAAAATGTAGTTAATACTTTTGAATGGTAATGTACTATAAAGGATGCCATATTGGTTATCGACCATTTTATAATTCAGTGATTTGTATGTACAAAATGGCGTTTGTTAAATTACTGCTGGAAACATGCATTTTGTTATTGTTGTCGTTTTTCTTTTTTTAATACTCTGGTATGGTTGATATATTTCGTATTACGTATTTTCAATTCATCAGAGATTTAACGATTCACTAATAATTGTCATTGTATATAATTGTTATGATATTTTTTTATAGATATATTTACCCGTGACGATGGAAAAAAAAAATATAATCGAATCAAAAACACGTGTTCTTTGGAATTTTTCCCTTTCTTTGTCATATTTTATTGGAAACAAAATTTCTGTTTTTCATTAACTTAAGTTAAAAACGATTATCGAGATTTCTAGAGAAATTTCGAATGAAAATTTAAAAGCGATATATATATCGAACTATATCTATGATTTTTTTTATCAAGAATGAGGATTGAAGAATTTTCTGTTTTTCATTATACTTAAATTTTATTTAAAAATCAAGAATGAAAAGTGATCATCGTTTCGAAAGCAATAATTGTATATGAAACAGATTTCATGATCTATTTATATATCGAAAAAATAAAGAACTGAAGTTTCAGACAGAAACTTCTAACGATAAAAACAAATATAAAAAATCCCGAGTTATATTCGAAATACAAAAATCAATACCTCGTTAATTAATTTTTTTTTAAAAAACCAAGATCTTTCAGAAATAATTCTAACCTAACCTCTTTATTATTTAAATCTCACAATTTATTTAATGATTAATCCTACCTTCAAACTTTATGCTTCACTCAGAAGAATTTTTAAATTTTAATAAATAATCGTTCTTTATTATTCAATTATCATAAAATTACGACAATAATTACCTGGACTCGTGGATCACGATTCGTACATGAATCGCTCCCAAGAGTGCTATAACTGGTTACAAGAGCCAGAAAATTAAATTCAAGAAAGAAACAAATACGTTTCTCTGGGAAGGAAACACGAGAAATTATGATAGAATATTTTCTCTGTGTTGGAAAATGTGGCAAAGTAATATTTCCATATGATTTACATGCCGAGCGTCAGTTTGCCCATTAATAATTCAACTTTCAATCTGTTCTTTAATGCTCGCACTCGCCTTGCTAGTTCGTTTCTTATTTCTTTCGATTTTTTCGTCGACATGTACGTCTGCAGACAAAATAATGATCGACTAAGACGAAAATGATTACGTGTAGCGATACTAAATATTTGTCAGCGATTTTTTCCATTGTGTCATTTAATAAAAAAATGATGACTCATCGTTTCGATCTAAAGATCGAAAAATTTTATCCAAGGACTCAAACATAAAGCGATTCGTATTTATTTATTTTTTTTAAAAATTCTTTTAAATATCTTAAATTTTTATTGTGGTGTAATTAAATTTTGGAACAGAATATTTATTTATATAATTTGCAACTTATCGTTCGATCTATAAATCGAAGAATTTTATTCGAAAATTCAAAAATGATGATTTAATTGATATTTATATGACTATTATTTCTTAAAATTACTTTTTTTTTTTGATATTTTAAATTTTTATTTCAATAATTTTGGAATAGAATATTTACAATCTGCAATTCACCGTTCGATCTATAGATCGAGAAATTTTATCCAAAAATTCGAAAATTAAACGATTGACATTTATATAGCACTTTTTTTTTCAATGGTTATTTTAAATATTTCAAATTTTTATTCCGGTGAATTTTGGAATAAATGATATTTATAAGATTGAATTTTTTAAAATATTTTTACGATTGAATTTTTTTTAACCTTTTTAAAATGTATCACGAATGATAAGTGAAAAAGAGATAATTTAACGCGAGAAAATAAATTGAGAATTATTATAGAATAAAAAATATATCCTATTTTCGATTGTCATTAATTATTAAATAAACGTGCCACGTCCATCACGTAATGAACAATTTTAAATTGACATAATTCGATTTTCAAATAAAGAGCAACGATCGTATAAATTTTAACTATAAATTTAAAGAATTTGGTCGTAAATTTACAACAATGTACAGAGTGATTTGAAAGAGAATTACGATGGCCATAAAGGCAGATAAAAGCGAAATCCCGTTTTGTATGCGAGTTACGAAGGAACGTTTGCATCTTCTATTAATATCCTCGTTTGCTTTACGTTATCAGTCTTGATTGTGTCATCTTAACGTACGCACGATTCCGTAATTCTGTTACCTGCTATGTCAATTTACCATTCCGATGCGGAAACAATAGAACAAGCATGCCATATACAAACATTTCCTTCTCTAAATTTCTCTTAGCCTTAGATCTGGATATTAACATCATCTCTTTTTTTGAGAGATAAATAACAATTTAATAGAATGAAAATAAAAATTTTTTTTTTATACGAATGATTAAAAATAAAAGAAAATGTATATTATTATTGTTATTAGTGATTATTTTTATGAAAAGGATATAAAATGAAATCGAATGAATATTATATATACTATATGAATATAGTTGATATTTCAAATATGTAAATTATTAAATTACTACATGTTGGAATACAAAAACGTGTATGAACTTGCAAAACATTTTTAAACGTCAATCATTTTGACACGTTTTGTATTTTATGATACTGTGTTGCATTTAAACAACCTCGAAAAGAGTTTTCTGCTTTCAGTTCTAAGAAAGCTTTTATAGTAAAGAAAATTTTATTATCAGTTATCTACGTTCACAGTTAAAGTTTATAGACATTCATGTATTACACGACTATTATATACTTTTACAATTATTTTATTATAATAACATGTATAGTTTGTCAAAATTGTTTTCTTTTTTACAATTTTTATATTATTCAATAATGTAACATAAATATAAATTTCGTGTTATTTATTCTAAAAATTCTAACCTCAAAATTTCTGTAATCTTCAGGTTAAGTCAAATAGTTATGGAACTATTTAATTAGTCAAATATTTAAATTATTAAAAATTGAAATCACTAGGACCAATTCTTTCGATTTTCAAATATTTTATATGAAGGAAATCGATAATCAATCTTGATCTAATTAATTGTGCATTAGCACAAAAGACGAATAGAAAATGGAGACAAAGGGACATACGAATGGGACGCGAACGTTTGTAATCGAGAAGGCTTATGAGGGCGTGTAATTGTCTATTGTAGAATTATCTATCTAGCATTTTTCTGGAAAAATATTTGCGAATAGATCCGCTTAGAAAGCGTAACGAATCTGTTCAATATCAATATGCACGAGAACCCAATTACGAATGAAAAATCTCACGCTACAAATTTTTTGATGTGCTTTTCACAATCAAGCGAAAATGATCTTTTTTAAAATTTTTTTAATTCTAAAATTGAAATTACATTCTCGATTTTTAATTCTATATTATTGCATGTTAATTTAAATTTCAAATATTTTAAATGGGACTCAGGCATGTATAAATGAGTTAATTTTAAAATCATATGTTAAAAAAAAAAAGAATGATTAAAAATAAAAGACAATAAAATTACAATTTCAATAATAATATTAATAATAAAATTTTAATAATAATTCAATAATAAAAAATATCATTAGCATTGAAATTTTGATATTTAGATTTAATATTTAGATTTAATGTGTTTAGTTATATCATTGAGAAATATATAATTTTCAATACAAGATTTTCATTTAATTAAATATTTGATTTTATATGACGCTTGAAATAATTTTCACAATTTTAATTTAGCTGAACTTTATGTGGAGCAAATGCTACGTGGAATTTATTTAATTTTGATTTTGAATTATAATTATTCCTGTGCTCACAGATTTTTTTTTGAAGAAACTGAGATAATATTATTGATTTTAATCAATTATTTACAATTAAATTTAAATTGAAAAATATTCTTGCAACATGACTGTTAATAATTTGATCAGATGTCTGCGGATTTATATTGGTATGAAAGATGATCATTGGAAACACTTGGTATATAGATAACCACAAGCAAAGTGAATGAACTCTAAAGAGATTGTAATTCTTGACCAAGGTTGAGCATGTGATTTGTTTGCATTAATTGGTCCATATATAGAATAAGATAAAAGCTATTGGCAATACTAATGTTTCATCAGATGATCTTTTTCAAAGTTAAATTTCCTTCAAGACCATTACTTTTGTTTTATTTAAATATTTTTATTATTACAACTATAGAATTATACTGTAGAATTACTGTAGAATTACTATAGAATTATACTGTAGAATTACTGTAGAATTTATAAGAAATAATTATTATAGAAATTTTATTATTATATTTTTAAAGTTAGAATAATTAACAACTTTCAAATTTTTATAAAAAAATTTAGATTGAAAATACTTTATTATAAATACTTTGAATTAGTGAAATTTCAACAAAAGATTATTTATAGATGTTTTCTTTGTAACATAGTATATATGTCAAAAAACAAATCTCTTTAAATCATGAATAGATTCTTGTCCAAACGAGGCTTGATCAATTATGCAATTTAATAAAAAAAAAATCACAAACCTCGTAAATTCCTTCAAATCGTTGAACATTTCAACCACTGTCAAAAGTTTTGTAATCCAATCGAATGATTTTTTTTATAACATGGATTTGTGTAATAGTTGATCAGATGACATGTCTTGGCATGTAAACGAATCTTGATGTAGTGTCCAATGTATATAAACATCATCGATTCTGTACACAATACGTATTATAACAATATTCGAACAATTTTAATCCATCATATATATTTATCAATAAACAAATTCAACATGTGTTCACATTTGAGTCGCATATCCGTTGTGAAGAATGTCACGCTTGTAAAACTATTCGTTCGATAATCGAAAGATGCAATGCGAGTGACGTTATATCGAATCTTGCAGGTATAACGTATTTCGCAAGAAGAGAACTATAGGGGAGTGAATCGTAGCTTTTAGGAATTCAACCTATAGAATCTTATCGTATTTCTTTCAGAATTCTACCTACCGCAGTTACAGCTTGTGTTATTTGCCCCTTCGAACATGGAAAAAGTTTGTACTGCGGTTATGCTTTGTCCACTGCGCAAACTCGACCGGTCGTTTGACTTGGTGGTCGATCCCTCCCGACCCTACCCGACCCCTCGTCTTCGAGCGCGCGCCGGTAGGCTAACCTGACCGTGAACAGGCGCGACGCTATTAAACGGTCGAGAAAGAAATATTTATCGGAATTTTACACAATTGAGAGAGCATGAAGTTCATCATGAGATTTTAACGGTATGGATTTCAACATTTTTTT